AGCAGGCGAAAGAAAAGGATGATTTAAAGGCTCATGATTAATGACCCGCAGAAGCGTCCCCACATTTTCCGGATTTTTCTGGTGACGCTTTTCGAGGCCAAATTCTGAGTGAACGGATCGCTCCTGCAAACGATGTCCTCGTCGACGCCGACGTGGAGAGAGCACTGATCATCTTTCCTGAGTTCCAACACGCGCGGCAAAAGCCCACCCCATGCCAAACTTGGAGCCCACGGGCGCCAACTGGTTGCCCGTTGGAGGGAGGGCGAAGCAAGGTGAGGCCCCGCAGCCACCTGACCGCCGCCTTGCGCGAGCGCTTGGCCGCCTGAAGCACGGGCTCGGGCGGGAGGGAGTGCTCCAGGACGGCCGACCTCTTTGCGTCACCAGCCGCGCCGGCGCGGGCTCACTCCCAGGCCTGCGCTGGCCAAGCGGCCCAGCGCCGAAGGAGCTCGGCGCCCCTCCATCAGGTCGGACCCGACCGAAGACTGGGCCGCCACCAGCGCGTGCGTCTCCAGATAGCGTTGCGCACTTCTCTGAGGCCCAACGACCTCGCTTCTGGATCTGCCACATGGACCTGTGCCCCATGGCCGCGTCGTGGCTGGGGCCCGAGTGGCGGGCAGAATGAGCCGGGAAGGGCTCCACACCGAAGTCCTGGCAGGCCTGCTTCAAGGCCCTGCGGGAGGCGTCGGCCGTCAGTTCGAAGAGCAGCCAGCGCTTCCCCGAAGCGTCGCGAGCCCGGCGCAGCACCATCTCCGTCACGTTGGGCCTTTCGATGACCACTCCCTGCCTTGCACCCGTCTTGGCGCGCCCGCCGCGCTTGATGACGCTGATGCGGAGTGCCGCCACCGCGCTGCCGTCTTCGGAGACGCTGACCGCGTCGTCGTCCGCGCGCAGGCTCAGTATCTCGGCGGGGCGCAAGTGGCAGTCGAGAGCCAGGTCGAAAGCGTCCGCGGCGACGGAGTTCCCGGCCATCCGCGTCGCTTGCAGCAAGAGCGCCCGCAGCTCCAATGGTTGGGGACCGCCCTCGCGGGCCACACGCAGGCGGTGCCAGGCATTGAGCGCTCGGTTGGCCTCAGCAAGCCAGTGGACAGTCCAGGCCAGACGTGGACCATCCCGTGCACGACGAAGTCGCCACGGTGGAGCCGATTTTCTCGTCCTCGACCAGTTCGTGTAGATACTCCAGGGCCGAGCAATCGATGTCGTTACGGCTGCGCATTGGCAGGTCGCGCTTGAGCGCGTACTGCAGGAACGTCCTCACGACCGGGATATAGCAGCTCAGCGTGGTCTGCCTGGAAACCGAAAAAGGGAGCAGCGCCAGACCAGCATGAAGTTGACTTCCGCTCACCGCGCCCCGCGACTGGCTCCTCTCGTCACGACGAATCTGACGATGCTGAGCGTGATGTCTAAGGCGTCCTTCAGAGGCAGCATCAGCGAAGGCAGGGCGATAATTTAGTGCGATCGGCTGCCAGCTTGGTCTCCCAGCTCATCACCTCGTCCGCAATGAAGATCGAGGGGAATGGAGGGTTGCCCGGGTCCGCCGCATGCTCCTGCTAGACGGGTCGTCTTCCCCGTAGTCCAATAACCCGCGGGTGCTTGGGGCTGCTAACAGCTGGGCGTTCGCGAGCTCGACCTTTTTCATCTCTTAGCCCAGCGCGTCCCTGCAGTTCGTGTCGAAGGCGACGTGGAGGCGGTTCCCTGCTGGAAGCGCACTCTTGACCAAGTCGCGCTCGATGGTCCGGCGTGGTCCCCATCCATGACGGAGTCCGCCAGCAGCTCCGGCTTGCGCGCGTTCACCTCGTCCGTCAAGTCGAACTCCTTGCCGAGCCCGATACCCGCGTTCATGCAGACCAGCGCTAGTCCATCTCCGCGCCCAGGCGGGTCAACCAGCACTCCGGATCCCCGCCCCGCGCGCGGCCGTTGCGCAGATGCATGAAGCGCAAGACTCGCGCAGTGATCGTCGGGCGGACGGGCCCCCTTCCGTTGCCGCGTCTGCCAGCTCCTCGACCGCGGCCGCCGACGCTGGCGGGAAGTGCGGCGGGTCGCCCCTCTCTTCGGGGGCCTGACCGATAGGGGAGCCGCGGCTGGGTCCGTCGCCGTAGTTCCGCCCCGACGGGGCCCATCTCCAGCGATCCCTCCTTCCGCAGCCCAAGTCCGGTGCCGATGTGCGCCTGCGCAGGATGGGAATCGGTGCGCTGGCGCCTGGGCCCCTGGCGTAGCCGCCCAGGCAGATCACAGGGTCGGGGATCCGTGGGGGCCTCCGCCCCCAGCTCGACATGGTCCGAGCCGAACGCATGTCTGCGGCGAGCCCCGTGCGCACTTCCGGGCTATTGGCGTGCTCCGGCTGGCTTCGCTGCCGTCGCGTGGCCCCCTTCGATTTCGCCATGTCGTCCCAGCGGGGGCACGTGGATCCTGGCTCCCAGCTCGATGCCCTCGGCGACGCGCTGGCAAGTCTCCCCAGTCGACCGGGGCTCGGCCTCGCAAGAGGAGGAGATGCCAGTCCGCGCAGCCCAGTTCCCTCGCGCGGCGAAGCGGGCCTCTCGGCGCAGATCTTTCAGGGGCACCCGGGTGGTGGCGAGAGCTCCCCCGCAGGGGTTCGCGTCGAGCATCGCGGCGACCGGGCCCCCGGGCATGGCGAGGTCCACCGAGATCAGCGGCGCCACCGCAGCCGCCGTGGCGAGCTCCCTCAGCACCTCCTGGGTCACTGCTCGTCGCCGTCCGCCGTGGCTGTCCGCGCGCCACTTGGTAGACCAGCCGGGCCCCCCAGCAGATCAGGAAGCCTCGCGAGACAGGGTGCCGTCGATCCGCGCCACTACGTTGGGGCCGCTCCGTCCTGGCGCGGATGGTTTCCTCGATGCCGATCACAACCGGCCGCGTCTTGCCCCGATGTGGAGCGAGTCGCTCCCCCGCGAATTCGCTTCCGATCATCCGGGCCTCCTGGGGGCAGGTGTCCTCCTGGGCCGGGGGGCCCGCCGCCGCCGCCGCGAGGGCCTCGGAGCCCAGCCGGATGTCGCGCGCCCGCCGCGGCTCCTCGCCCTCCTCGGTCGACGGGCAGTCCGCCCCAGGGATGCCGAACGCGTAGATGTACTCGTAGTGGGCCGCGGGGCTCTCCCGATCGGTCTGCGGGAGCTGGCCGCCCTCGGCCAGTCGCTGCCGCTCGGGGACGGCGGGGGGCCCCTGCTCGGGCTCGCTGTTGAACGCGTCTTCCACGGTAGTCCAGGCGATCCAGCGGGCCCGCGAAAAGCCCGTGAGAGCCGATCGCATGCCCGCGAACTCGCCGCTGCCCTGGAGTAAAAAACAGATAAACGCGTATATGGACATGTTATGTTGCGAGTGAAAATCCAATCGGGAAACGCATCTGATCGGCTCGCAGAAACTGCGGGCGGGATTGCTCGCGAACGTTAATCTAGGGTACTCGCCGGGGGGCCAAGTTTCGCGGTCGGCGAGGGTTCGGGACATGCGTGCGTCGGAGTTACACGCGGATGACCATTCGGAAACCTTGCGAGCCGCAAAGTGTGACAGCGTGCCGGTTGAAATCTTCAACGTACGACATCGCCGTATCTGTTATCTGCGGCTGCATTTTGAGGCGACGCCCCCCCCCCCCCCCGTGGGTGTCGAAGTTATCGAGCTTCCAGTGTCCAAGCGCAGGCCGTGAAACTCTCGGGGCTTCAAGTTTTTAGGTTTGAATCGAGCCTCCGACTCGGATCGGAACCCCGTCGTGGAGCTTGCAGGCTTGACTGGTGGAAAATGCATGAGTATGACATGTGGCTGTTCTCCAAGCTTGTGCGCGTGAAATTTTGAATGGGGCAAGGTTGGGATTGGGGATGGCGGCGACGCAGGTTTTTGCGCGGATTGTAGCTCGCGCGCGCCGACGTTGACGGCGGCGCGGCCGTTTCGCAATCGACGAGCAACATTTTGTTCATCGTGCTCGGGGATGTGCTCGTCTCCATGGCTGGACGCCGCTCGAAAGTGCAGTGCGGCGCAGGCCGGTGCCGGGTCCGTTCCCCCTGATCAACGCGCGAGCCTTCGACGCGGTATCTTTGCGATGTGGGCGGGTGGTCTGGCGGGCGCGTGCGGGCGCCGGAGGCCTCGCGCGTTGCTGCAAAATTGCGAAATGTATTCCGCGCGTTGAGTCTTGGGCGATCGCGGAAGGCGGACGCGCCGACGGGGGCGTCGCGCTGCCCGAGGCGGGGGGGGGCGGGCAGGGCATTGCGCGCGGAATTGCGCCCTGCTCGAAGGAGGGCGCCGCGGCTGCTCGCGCGCGTTCTAGGTTCCCCCCGGGGGCCCAGCGAGGGGGGCGCGAGCGGAGAGGGCGAGGGGGGGGTGCGCGACGATGGATCGGAGGCGACAGGGGCGACGCGGGATGACAAATCGGAGAAGGGGGGGCGAGAGGGAAATACAAGAGCAGGGGGGGCATTGGGGGGGAAAGTGGGCGAGGGGATGGAGCGGGGCGCGTGGGCGAGGGCGGGGCGGGGGAAGGATGTGGAGTGTGGGGGGGAATGGCGGCCGCGCTAGGAAATCCGCGCGGATGCTCGTTCATTAGAGCGGGCCGCGACGTCTTCTGTTCGAATATGTTTTTGCGTTATTTTACGGGGGCCCGAAAGGGGGGCGCATGGAGGGGGGTGGGTGGGCAAAGGGGAATGCGCGGGGCGCGGCAGGGGCGGCGCAGGAGGAAATGGAGGAGGAGGAGGAGGAGGACCAGGGAGCAACGGGGGAGACATCGGAAACGGGGCGCGCGGGGGCAGGAGGAGGAGGAAGGGCGGGGTGAATTTCCAGCCGGCTCCTGACTGGATATTCTGCTGGATTCTGAGCGGAAGCTCTGCCGTATTCTGAGTGAATGTTCTGCCAGATTCTGAGCGGGTATTTTTGCGTTTTTGCGCGAGCGGGCGCGAGCAGGGCCTTGGGCAGCTATTCGCTCAATCTTCGCTTTGTCTTGCATCGAGGAGTTCGCCCGGGTATTCGTCCATGTCTTCGCCCCGAAATTCGCCCCAGCGTTCGCCCGCGAGGTTCGGTGTTCTTCGTTGCGCGACGTCTTTGCGGTCGTGGGTCGGGCCCCCGAGTTGATGGGCGCGTGGTTCGACGGCAATCTGGCCGGCGACGTGGCTGGCGATCTGGCCGGGCGCAGGGATCGCTGGTCTAAGCTTGAGCCGATTGCTGCGTTGGGGGGCCGCAGGGTTCGCGGTCCTCGCGCCAGTCGAAAGGGGGGGGGGGCGTCCCAATCCCAGGAGAGGGCCGCAGTTCAGGGAGAGGGAGGGATGGGGAGAAGGATGAGGATCGCGTTGGAGTCGGCCCTCATTTCAAATTAGCGGCTCCATTGCGCCCAGCGCACCAGCGGACGTGAACGCCCACTTCGGCGGACGAAAAACCCAACGCCAGAATTCAACGCGCAGCGTTGCCGAGTGCCTTGTCGACTCCCTCGCCCGAGCGGCGCGAACTCCCCCGAGGGCTTCTTCAGGCCCTCCTGCAGCACCGAGAGGCACGGCCCTCTTAGGGCCCTCCCAGGTCGCATGATAGATTAGGGGGCCTGGGCCCAAACAGTGATATCGCGTGGCCAGGGGGGGTCCCGAGCGGGCCCAGAAGGGCCCCGTGAGGGAGGGCTCCAAGCCCGAAGTGCCCCCCCCCCCCAGCAGCTTCCCCAGTGCTCCGACAGGCCCTCTTGGGCCTTCCCATGCCGCGTGACATGATTGGGGCATTTGCTCGGCGATATCGTGCCGGAAGGCTCTGTGTATGATATCATTGGGGTACAGGCCCCAAGAAGGGGCCTCAAACGGGTCCCAGAGAAATCGGGGAGGGCACCTCGAGAGGCCCAAGATGGCTTCGGACAGCTTCCCTCCCGCGGAGCTCCGAGAGGCCTTCGTGGCCATCCCAGGCCGCGCGATATCGCTTGGGCTCAGGCTCGCCGATATCATGCCAGGAAGGCCCTGGTATGTTCTCGTTGGGGCCCGCCTGGGAGAGTCCCGAGCGGGGCCTTCCTGGCCCCATGTCGGGGCCTTCATTGCAAGGGGGGGCGATCAGTTTGGTTGTGGGCCCTGCTGTCTTGTCGCATTCCGCGCCGTGCTGCGCGCCGTGAGATGCCGGGCGGCGGCGGTGGTATGTCATGCATCGTGATGACCCGCGGCGGATCCCATTGCATGCAGTGGCGACCATTTCCTGGAAGGCCGCGGCGTGGCATTTTGCGCTTGCCTTCGTAAGAACAAGTCTCTCTTCGTTGGGTCGCTCTGGGATTAGAAGTCGGGAAGGTCGCCAGTGCCGAGCGTCATCTTGGCCCTGGGCTCGCGCATCTCATCTGGCGCGCCCGGCGGGGACATCGCGCTGGCGCCGCCCATGGCACGCCAGGGCGGCCGCTGCCGGCGCAAATTGGAGCGCCGCTGATCGAGCGCCAACCTCGGCGAGACCTTGAGGTCGTCGTCCTTGATCCCTGACCTCGTGGCGACGCAGACGAGGCCGACCTCGTCGACTTCCTCCTCGCACCTGCAGAGCGTGCCTGCCTGGGCCATGCGCGTGGCCAGGAATGTCGTTTTCTTCTTGCGACGGCAGTGCGCGTCCACCCACGTAGTTCTTCACTTCGGTCGTCCGCGCGTACTCGTTGCCATTCGGCTTGAGCATATCCGTCGGGCACACCTCGAACTCGCGCCGCACGGGGCGACGCGCTCCAGGCAGACGCCGGCCTTGAGCCAGGAGGAGGTGGAGCGACTTGGCCCCGCTGGGCCGGGGACGTCTCGCCCCGCTCTTGCAGTCTTACGCTTTTACCAGCGCGCCTCCTGCGAAGCTCGGCCAACTTCGCGTCGCAAGTAGACCGGGGCTGGAAGTCCGCCGCCCCGGCGGCAGGATGCAGCTGCATGGTCGTGGCCCCAGGTGGGGGCGTCGACGCCAGTGGCAAGTTGAGCCGATCCTCGCCCGGCGCGCGTCGGGCCAGGTCCCGGCCCGCGTTCCCTTGGGCGCCCTCGCCGCTCCGCGCCCCCCGCCCGTCTGGAAGCTCGTCGCCGACGCTGCCCCGGTAGAGCTCCCGCAGGGCCGCCGAGCAGCAGTCGGTCCGGCTGAAGATCCCCACCTTTTGCCGCCATCGCGAGAGCACCCCCCGACGAGAAGAAGCGGGCCCCTCGGGCCTCGCGGAGAGCGCCGCCTCGGCTAGGGCGCCCCGCCTCCGGGCAATGGAAATCCCAATTCGTCGCGCAGGCCGCCGCGCGCCGTTCTTGCCGAAGCGCTGCAAGCTCATCGGGGAAGTAGACGATGTCCAAACAAATCGCCCCGAGCAGCCAGGCGACCGCTGAGGGCGGCGCGGGCCCCCCAGCGAAGCGCGCGCCGCGGGCCCCAATTGAAGCTCTTGAAGAGTCAAGGCGTGGCCGCCGCCCCGCTGTCGGGATCCGCCCGCGCCTTCTGCTGCTGCGCGCCCCGACGAATGGCCTTTCTCACTTCTTCCTCGGCGCCGAGAACCCGGGTGGCCCCTCCTCCGCCAGGTGCTGATCCAGACGTCGCGCCGCGCCCCAGTCGACCTTGGTCTGCCAGTTCTTGGCGTCCTTCGGGCGGCCCCAGTCGCCCTTGAAATTGGCGTCGCGGTGGGCGCGCGCCGGCGTCTACCCCTTGCGCGCCGGGCGCTCGAACTTCACCTGGTTCAAGAGGCTCGTCTGCCGATCCGTCATGAGCATCGTGTTCGCCGTGCCGAAGGCCGCAACCATTTCGCGGGCAGAGTGGCAGTCCGTGAGTCCGCGGTCGCGCAGGAAGTCCCGTGCGATGCGCTGGGCGGTAACCCTCTGGCATTTTGGTGGCCCAGTCCGTCTTGCTAACTGATCTCCTGGTAGCTCTCGAGCTGTTCCATGAACACCTGCTTGAGGGACTGGGCCTCTAAGCACATCCTCCTGATGGCAAGCGCCGCCGCCTCGGGCTGGCCACCCTCCGGGAGCTTCTCCGGCGTCTCCGGGACAGCCGCCGGGCGTTCGGGGCGGCTTGCCATCCTTCCAAAGGCGGCGAACCTGGAGCGTCCGCCGCAGCCGCGGCTCCATCTGGAGGAGGCCCCCCATCGATGCGCGCCTCCACCGGGTCCAGGCTGGCCGTCCTGTCCTGAATTATCCGTCGGTTGGCCTCGTCTGGCATTCCGCGCGTCACCTCGGCGCCCTCGAGAGCAGATCGCCGAAGCTCTCGGCTCCGCTCGGCGATGCGGATCTCGCTCAGCTCCTCGGCCGTTGCCGCCTGCGACTCCGCCGAGTCCTGGAGCTGAGCTGCCGGGTCAACATCCACCCGCGGGGGCGTGGCGGGCGGCGGCAACGGAAGAGCTTGCGATGTCAAGTCCGCGGCTGGTGAGATCGAGGACGAAGTCCCCGCCAACGACGGATCTCCATCGTCCATGCCCAGCATCAGAGAAGCAGGGTCACCAGCAAGGCCAGCCAGCGCTGCAGGGGCATGAGCTGCTGCGCCCACTCCAACCAGTCGCTGCAGTAGACGACCCACTCTTGGATGGCCTCGGAGCTCTCCACGAGCGCGTTCCTAAGCGCCACCATGTAGCTGACCGGGCTTGCCCAGCACTCGGCCGCGTAGCGGAACGCGCCGAGCACCAAGAGGGCATCGTGGAGCGCGAAGAGTAGTGCAAGCAGGCCGATGATCCGCTTCGGGCTCCTCAAGGACCAGCGCGATGTCTTGAACCCCGACCTCCACGATGTCATGGGCGCGCGCCCGAGGTTGAAAGCCACGGTCTGCTGCGCGCCCGCGCCGGGCCTGTAGAGGGGAAACTCGACCACGGTGCCCGCGCGCAGCCCCACCACGGCCTGCGCCTCGTACGCGTGCTTTTGCGCCGCGGTGAGAGCAGGCGCGTTCCGCCAGCGGACCTCACGACCAGATCCGAGAAGATAGTCGTCTTCGCCGTGATGGCCACCAGGCCCAGCGACGAGTCGGGCGTCAGCACGCACCACCGGTTTCCCGTCTTGCGCCGCACCAGCAGCACCTCCGAGGCGTCCGTCGCACTGCCGATAAAACTGGCGGCTCCATGTTTCCACAGGCACCTGAGTCTCGAGACCGTCGGTCTCCTCGATCTCCAGCTCCGCCTCGAACGGGTCGCTCACCACGGCGAACAGCGTCCAGAAGATGAGCGCCAACGGCCCGCAGCCGATGCGCGCCGTGTCGCTGGCGAACCTCTCCGGGGCGCCTGGCGAATGGGAAGCCCGGTCGACGAGGCCACGCTGGAGATGAACTACCATGACGAAGCGCCCTCCGCCTCGCTATGGCCTCTTCGAATCGGGAGGCGAACCGATGGAGAAGAGCTTGGGCAGCATAAAGCGCTCGAGCCCAAAGAGCTTGAGACGGATAAGCACGAACACACGAACAGGCGATGTGTTCAGAACGGCGCCCCTCTAATCTACAGAACCCCGACGGGCCCATCTCCCTGAGACAGTAGGACGCAGGGAGGCATTGTGTCAAACGATACACAGGAGGAGGAAGCAGGATAATGGGGGGGAAGGGAGAGAGGAGGAGAGGGAGGAGGAAGAACAGGAGGAAGAGGAGGAAAAGGATGATGATGATGATGATGCTGATGATGATGATGATGATGATGATGCTGATGATGATTATGATGACGATGATGATGATGCTGATGAAGATGATGATCATGATGATGATACTGATGATGATGATGATGCTGATGATGATGACGATGATGATGATGCTGCTGCTGATGATGATGAAGCCGATGATGCTGATGCAGTGATGATGCTGCTGCTGATGATGATGCTGATAGTGATGATGATGCTGCTGATGATGATGATGAGGATGAGGATGAGGATGATGATGATGATGCTGATGCTGATGCTGATGCTGATTCTGATTCTGATGATGATGAAGCCGATGATGATGATGGTGATGATGGTGACGATGATGATGCTGATGAAGATGATGATCATGATGATGATACTGATGATGATGATGATGCTGCTGATGATGATGATGATGTTGATGATGATGATGATGGTGATGATGATGATGATGATGATGATGATGATGATGATGACGATGATGATGATGATGATGATGATGATGCTGATGCTGATGCTGATGCTGATGATGATGACGACGATGATGATGATGATGATGATGATGATGATGATGATGATGATGATGATGATGATGATGATGATGAGTATGAGGAGGAGGAGGAGGAGGAGGCGGAGGAGGAGGTCGACGAACTTTGGGTTGGAGGAGGAGAGGGGGAGGAGGAGAAGGGGGAGGGGTAAGATGATGAGGAGAAGGAGGAAAAGGAGGAGGCCGAGGCGGAGGAGGAGAAGGATGATGATGATGATGATGATGATGATGATGATGATGATGATGATGATGATGATGATGATGATGATGATGATGATGATGATGATGGTGATGATGATGATGATGATG